AATAAAATAAAATAAAATAAAATAAAATAAAATAAAATAAAATAAAAGTAGAAGTCCTCCCGCTACTTGCCCAAGGTCACAGCTCGTACGGGGCGGGCCCAGGGTCGGCACCAGCTCTGAGCGTGAGCTCACATTCAGCTCCAAGCCTCCACTCCTCACTAGCACGTGGGACCCCAGTTGCGGTTCGGACTGTGGGTCAACGCGCGTCCAGTGACGTGCCAGCTCTAGTCAGCACCTACCTACTGCACAGATGCCTGACCCCAGATGGACTGAGTAAGACCAACTCAAGTTACTCGTGAGAGTGTTTATGAAAACAATCACATAAAAAAATACCAAGCCCCAGTGGGAGAAAACTAATTGCCCATGGGTCAAATCAGATAATGTAATCTCTGGAACGAAAGGAGACTTCCCAATAATGATAAGGGCGCTGGTGACAAAGAACACTGCGAGGCAGGCTGTAAAATGCAGGGCTGGGGGTCAGACCGCAGATCACATTCTCCTCTGTTCTCAGGCATGCCTGCTGAGCAGGGGAGCTTAGCCCAGCCCAATTAAGGGGTCAGCCCAGCCAAATTAGCTGGGTAAAAGCAGCCTGCATCTCTCAGATCAAAATTCTTTTCCCAGGCTCGTCCCCAGTCCAAAGCCCTCACCCTTCTTCCAGGGCTGAAGTACATAGTGGGACCCATAGTCATCGCCAGCAGGGAGAGGAAGACACCGGCTCCTTCCCCGGCGCCCAGGTCCCTGCCTGCTTCTCCTACAGCCAGCGCCTCGCTGCTCTGCCTTTCTCATGCTGGGCCCTCTGCCTGGACTGCCTACCCATCCTTTAATATCCGGTTTGCTCACCTCCTCCTAGAAGCCCTCCGTCATCCTCCTCCCAGTACCCTCACTGGCAGAGGATGTCAGGTGCCTGCTCTCTGTGCCCCACTAACACTCCAAACAAATCTCAACCCCCGACTGTGTTATTTCTTGATTGTCTGTTGACCTGCCGGGTTCTCCCAGCACACAATAAATCCCTCAATGGTGGCACTGAGCCTGTGGCACAGAGTTTTCGGCACATACTTGCACTTACATGTTGACAAGTGTTTTTTCAACGAGTTTATTAGTCAATAATATGCCAGAGAAAGGTGGTGGTAGGGGACGGGGGGTGCCCAGGTCGACATCCCCCCTGTTCTGGCGAGAGAAGGCAATGAGTGGTCAGGGTGGGGCACAGGAAAATAAAAAAAAGAAACCTCTACATTTTTAGCAAATACCCACTGAGTGTGCCAGATACTAGCTGGGGCTGCACAGAAGCTGCTGCCTTTATTCTCCACAATAAACAATCTAGGCCTCACCTCTTTGGGTGCCCACAAGACCCAGCTGGAGTGAGGAAGGGGATTCTCCAGGCTGGGCCTGCCAGCACCAAGGGGGAGGGCCCATGCAACCATAATTCAGAGGGGCACGGAGTCTGGCATGCTGTCCTTGTTTCAAAGGCTGCAGCCACAGGACCTCGGGCCCAGGCGAATGTCCTTCCTGTGCACACCAAGCTTGGCCTCGCACTTCCGTTTCAAGTTCTGCTTCCCTACTTCCTTATGCTGTATGCTCCAGCAATGCTGATGTTTCCAGAATAGAGCATGCTGTTTTACGTCTCTGTGCACATTTTATTTTCTCCCTCGGGAAGACCTTTACTCTGTCTTGCCATCTGGCAAACTCCTTTTTTTTTTTTTTTAAATGTATTATTACTAAGTTTACTTATTTTGACAGAGGCTGAGTGGACGGTCATCACACATGTGAGCAGGGGAGGGGCAGAGAGAGAGGGAGAGAGAGAATCTGAAGCAGGCTTCACGCTCAGCACAGAGCCTGATGTGGGGCCCGGTCCCACAACTGTGACATCATGACCGGAGCCGAAATCAAGAGTCAGACGCTTAACCGAACGAGCCACCCAGAAGCCCCTCATCTGGCAAGCTCCTACTGATCCCTCAAAACCCAACTCAGACATCGCTGTCTCCAAGAAGCACAGTGGCTTCTCTCCCGGGTGAGTTTATCACTCCACTCTCCATACTACAAGCCTCTATTTGTGCAGTGATCTACGTGTCTTCCTACAACAGACGATGAACGTCTCGGGAACAGGAACGGTCTTAGTTATGTACAGATTCAAATACACAGATCGGTGCTTGGCATCCGGCAGGTGCAACCTCATTTATCTCTTCTCTCTAGTGAGAGTCACACTTCATAGCTTAAAATCACCCAGGAAGAGATTTTACGCCAAAGATGCTTACATCACAGTCAAGTCCCAGAAAATATTACCCCACTTTGCGTATCAGAGGGAATTAAATCCAGGTTCTATTTGTGGATTAATTAGGAGATCTGTCCTGGGGCAAGAAAGAGAATGCTTACCTTTCAGCTAATAGGGTTATGGCTCTGAATACATTATACACTGTCTGCCATCTCCTGCCTTCAACTCCCTGCGGCACACTCGGGAAGGAGGAGGCGATTAAGACACATTTGCTACAAACCTCAACGACTGATAATTACATCCCCCTTCCCAATCAATTGGGGCTCTGAAACGTGCAAAGGCAGGAAGCAGACTCGTCTGGCTTGATAGAAAAGACAAAACTGAGTAAGGTCGCCATGCTGGTGGATCACACGAGCTTCCGAGAATGCACTCAGATCGGGGCGGCGGGGGGGGGGGGGGGGGGGAGGACTGTGGGCCCCAAGAGGTGGACAGAGGGAGAAGGGTCTGGAGAGACTTACCACAATGATGTTCTCATGCTCCTGGGTAGTCAAGTTTGTGTTCTGAGGGATTGAATGGAGAGCGCAGGAGGGAGACAAAACAAAACAGAAACACTGACATTAATAAAACGGAACATTTACATCTCAAAGGTCCAACCGGTGAAAAACCGCTTTCAGCATCTCAGTGAGCAATGGTCACTTTGCTTAATTAAACAGATGAGAAGCCCCTCACAGGATTGGTCGGGAAGGGAGGAAAGCACGGCTTTGGGGCGGGGGGACTGCGTTTCCAGTCCTGGTTTCGCATAACCCCTCTGAGTTATGCAACCTTGGCTCCTCGGTGAGACTCGGTTTCTTCTCCCATAAATAGGGATCCTCTGTGGGCTTCAGTGAGAGGGTATACAGACAGACCTAACCGCACGCTTGGTGCTGCTCATGTAGATGCCACTGGGGAGCCAGGAGGCAGGTTCACAGTAAACACATAAAGAAACAGACTTTGGAATCTTGACTGTGCACCAGGCATAAGAGCGGCACATACGTATTATCACAACAGCTTTCCAGCTAGGTTCCCAGGGAAGAATGGTCTTCCATGAGCTGGCCAAACGTGGTTTAGTTAAATTCAAATGCCAGCGATTAACTTGCAAAAATAATATTACGTGGAATGCGTTAAGCTTGTTTAAATTTTAGGGTTTTTTCCCTCCCCAATGCGGGATCTTCTTATCCAGCTGGTACCTGTTACCACCATCCTGTGCATATGTGAATGAGGGAAGGAATGATCACGCGATAAATGAGAAATCATGGGAGAAACCAGAAACGGTCTAACTACCGTCTCCTTTTCTAGCTTCGTGTTGTGTTCCGTTTCATCTGTTTGTTCTTGGTGGAATGGGTTCTCCCTGGTGTCGGTTCAGATTTCCTAATAGGGCTGCGTTTGGCCCCTGGTAACATGCCGTCTCACCGGACAGTGAACTGGCAAGATCGATGGCTGTTGGGTTCTAGAAACAGCCCCACCATGCGCACCACCTGGCATCACGTTTAAGGAGCATCAGGGTATCTGGCATTTACAAGCAGCTGAAACAAAAGAAAAGCCATTGGGCCGTGGATTTGCCCAAAGGGTGAAGACAGCCTTGGAACCCGGCAGGGGCCGATGTCTGCCTCCTCAAGTCCCCGGGTTCCCATGGAGACAGCAAGGCCCTTGGGCTTAGAATCCAGGAACACACGGAAGGTGGAAGGATGTCTTTTGGAATCCAAAGGCTTTTTCTTTTTTGGACATTGGTGGATTCTAAGCAGCCCATTTATGGCAGATTATTAAACATCAACAATTTTTCCGCCCAGGGTAGATGGAAACGTGGCTTTGGTCTTTCCTGACAGCTCACTATGCCTCAGGCAGTGCGAGTGCACTCTGTAACCCTCATCCCACATCCCTCTTCTTTCTTACGATGCTTTTCCTGCTTTTCTGTCCACAGATGAGCTACCGGAGTCTCACGAGGTGCCGCAGCTGACTCAGGAGCACAGGTAAGAGACGGTGGGGTGTGGGTTTCACCCTCTCTGTCCTGATGCCAAAACCTGCATCTCTCTCTTCATTTATAAAACAATTTTTTTTTTAAATCTTTATTTATTTTTGAGAGAGAGAGACAGTATGTGAGCAGGGGAGGGGCAGAGAGAGAGGGAGACACAGAATCTGAAGCAGACTCCAGGCTGAGCCATCAGCACAGAGCCCGACATGGGGCTTGAACTCATGAGCTGTGAGATCATGACCTGAGCCGAAGTTGGATGCTTAACTGACTGAACCACCCAGGCACCCCAGCATCTCTCTCTTCAAAAAAAAAATTTTTTTTTAATGTTTCTTTATTTTTGAGAGACAGAGCACGAGTGGGGGAGGGGCAGAGAGAGAGGGAGATACAGAATCCGAAGCAGGCTCCAGGCTCTGAGCTGTCAGCACAGAGCCCGACGCGGGGCTCAAAGTCACGGACCGCGAGATCATGACCTGAGCTGAAGCTGGACTCCCAACCGACTGAGCCACCCAGGTGCCCCTCTCTTTTTATAAAAGTTTACTTTGAGAGAGAGCGAGAAAGACAGAGAGAGAGAGGGAGAGGAGAAAGTGCATGCATGTGCAGGGAAGGGCAGAGACAGAGACAAAGAGGGAGAAAAAGAATCCCAAGCAGGCTCTGCATCGTCAGCAAGGAGGCCAATGCCGGGGCTCGATCTCACAAACTGTGAGATCATGACCTCAGCCGAAATCCAGAGTCAGATGCTTAAGAGACTAAGCCACCCAGGTGCCCCCCGCTAAAACCTGCATCTCTAACCACTGAGCTATGGTGCTCAGCCCAAGCAAGGGCCAGTCCCATCCTTCGGGCCATGGTGGACAACTCTGAAGGGCTCAGTCCATTCCTCACGGCACCTGTGCACCTTCCCAGGAAGAGCCTTCGGTAAATACAGATGCTGATTTCTTTGTCCCAGTCACTGGTGGTGGCCTGTGGTGTTCCGCAGGGACACTTCTCTCTCCCAAGGCCATTTTCAACCCTGGGTGGAGGGCACTCACTGAAAACGGCCACTGAATCATAGGGGACACCTGAACCCCAAACTGAGCGGCCTCCCCACACACTGAAGTCAACAAAGGCCCGGGAGGTCAGGGATGCGGCTCTGTCTGGCCAGCGGATGGGCAGTCCTTTCGCAGAACTAACAGCCCCTCTACCCCCTCCTTGGGGATCCTGCCCACCTCCTGGTTGGCTTGGTGACACCTGGAGCCTCGTAGAAGGAGACCCCGGAGACAACTTGAGTAAAGAGAACAGGCAAATAAGCTAGCCCATATAATCTACACAAGAAAGGGCAAGGAGGAGGAAGGATTTGTTTGTCTTTCCACCCATCCTCCTAGACCCTTAAGCTGAGAGTGGTTAAGGTCAAGGTCATGACTACTGCCCATGGCAATAAAAATGGCACTTATCCAAGTGACCCTGGGCAGGTGACAACCTCTTGGAGCCTCTGTTTACTCGTCTGTACCTTTTAGTACTTACCCTGCAGGGTCCCTGGAGAAATGCTAAGTTATCAGCACTAAATGCCTGCCAAAGTGGTCGTCACAGAGCCTGAGTGTCACTCAGGGAGGCGTCAAGCCTTACTCGAGGGGATGCTGCCCGGGCACAGCTCTGTCCAGCTCTGTCCCTTACCAAACAACAGCTCTTACCAGTCAGACACGGTGAGTCATACTGACCCCTTGCCCGACACACAGTAGGTATACAGCAAATGCAAGCTTCTTCCCTTTTTTCCTCTTTAAATGCTTTTATCTTTTCCTACCCCAGCGCCTGGGGATCAGGTGCCTGAGAAGCGATGCAAAGGCCCACGGGCGCGCGGTCACATGTGACATAAACGCCGCCAGAGGTTGGCGACAGTGCCCGTCGGCCGCCTTCCCATCGTCCTGACAGCGAACCTGATGTCAACGACAGTGTGGTGGCGGCCGGGACTGGCGGGGCAGGAGGGGAGGGCAGGTGGTCTTGCAGGGAGAGCGAGCAAGCCCCAAGGTGGAATTTGCAGCCCCACCACTTGCTCAGGTGTTCCAGTGTCTCTGGACCTGAGTTTCCCCATCTGTACAACGGAGACAGCAAGGCCCACGTCTCAGGGGAGACTGTACGACACGAGATGCCGTGCTGCACGGCACCTGACACTGGCCGCCACACAGCAGGCGTGTACTTGCGGTGAGCGGCCAGCCTTGGGCCTGCTTGCTGGGGCCCTTCCCCTGCTCAGGCGGGAAGCCGGGGTTTCAGGTCGCACATACAGCACCCGGCCTGGCCTCCAATTCCAGGCCTTGACTGTGATGCATTTCAGAGCGTGAGTCTCTGCTCTTCTGCGAAATGAAGCTGTTGCACGCCCGAGGGCACGTCTTCTGTTCCTCTACCTGCCACCGTCTTTGCAGCCCACCCTCTACCTCTTGCCGTACTTCCTTCCAGGGAAAGGTGTTCTCTGCTCAAATAGCAGACATGGAAGAAGGCCCGGGCCAGTTTCCTGGACTGATGGGCGGCAATCAGCTTGGGTCTGCGGGGGAAGGGGTGGCTCCAGGCAGCAAGGGGCTTGTGCTTCTAGAAGGAACCAGGGGCCACTCCCAGGGAAGGGGGACGGAGGCATTGCCCTGGGGCCGTGGAAAGTCCAAACAGGGAGTCATCAACGCCAGCGTCCCCAGGGGCCCAGGCAGGCAAACAAACGAGACAGCTTTAGTACTTGTGGAGCGCGGAGAAGAGTGCCCGGGCCGGAGTCACAGCGTGTCCCCAAGTAGCCCTCGCCTACACACGAATGGCGCGGCTGGCTCTGGCTGAGCCCCCACGCTCCTGTCTGTCTCCCTGCTGGAACGTGAGCTCCAGGGGGGGTGGGGGCTTGTCTTTGTTCCAATGCCCAGGACAGTGCCCGGCACGGCACGCACCCTACGGGGGGGCTGCCTGGCACAGCAGAGTGGGTTTTCTGAGGCTCTGGGGGGTCGTGGAGGCAGAAAGCGACAGCCGCTTGGACCCCTGCAGCTGACGCAGGCCAGGGCAGGGCAAGGTGGAGACGGGTGGTGGGGGGCAGGCAGGAAGGCAGGGCAGTCTGGGGGCTTCACCGATGTGCTCTGGCTCGGGAAAAACTGGAAGCTCCTGAAATCTGCTGCCATCATCACCACCAGCCTGTCGTCAGGCCCGAGGCTAGTCCCCCGAGCTTCGGTCGTGGGGCACGGCAGGGTGGTCACCACTGCCCCTTCCCCCTGCCACACCCCCGGGACGGCCCGTAACGGGCAGACGATACAAACTCAAGTCCGAATCTGTTGCCCGGCACAGCGTTGGTGCTCGGCAGAGGGGGTGGGGGTGGGGTGTGCACAGTCAAGCAGGGGGCACGTCTTACCTCTGAGAGCAGTTTTGAGACGATTTCCAGTGGGGCTTGGTTGATGGAGTCATCCTGCAGGGGGGATGTCAGGGCCATGTCCACCAGAGTTCGGATCTCCTTCAAGACAACTTCCCAACGGCTTGGGTTACTCAGAACTTTCTTATATTTGTAAATCTTTTTCTGGTCGGGAGGGAGAAAGAGACACAAACATGTTATTGATATTCTGATGGTGGAAGAGGACACCAGATGATCAGAGAAATAGATGCCCTAGCAGGTACAAGGCCCCAAAAAACTGCCCGTGTGGACCAACCCTCCCGTGGGAAACTGACTCGCAGAGAAAGAAGTCCCTGCCCAGGGTCACAGGCGATGTTTGCAGACAGGCCTTCTGAACACTAGCTGAGAAATCTCCACACTGTTTCCGATGACTTAAAAAAACAACAAAGCGATGTCTCTTTCAGATCACGTCTTCTCCCAAACGTATTCCCTAAGTTTTCACACGCAGGGAGGGTGGAAGGAAGCATTCGGGGGTCCAGAGAGAGGCTTTCTTTGCGTTGGAGGTACTGTTTCTACTCATCCCGACCCTAAGAGGTCCCTCTGGAGAGTGGAGTCCAGCTAAGAAAAAGGACAGACAGGCTTGTGGCCAGGTACTCAACCCCGGCCAGGGGGTGACAAGCCCAGAGGCCCCCGAGAACCGCAAAGCGGACCTCAGTTTCCACCTGGTGAGTGGGACGGAGCATATCCTCACCTTTGCTCGGGGCTGTGTCCAAAGCGGAGAAGAACTGGGGCACGGGCTGCTGTCTCCCTCGATGTGAGGCAGAGTGAGTTCCGCCTCTCTGACATCATGGAAACAGCAGCCCTCAGAAGGCGGAGGTCCCAGCCAAAGTGCCTCCCGGCCCCGGCAGCTGCCGGCCCCACTGTTGCCCTGGCTTGGGACTCTCCCACTGGATGAACTCCTTCATTAAGTGCTCTGCTCCCTGGGGAAAACCTAAGTTTAGTGTCACCGCACCAAGCAGCCAGCTGGGGTGACGAGTCACAGTCTCTGAGCCAGAGTCTGAATGAAGGAGTGGGGAGGGAGGAGGTCAGGGTCCCCCACTGAGGCCGCCGGGGGTCTCCCTGACCCTTTCGTTTCTGAGTTATAAATTACAAAGTGATCTCGGAACCCAGCACTTTCAAGGAAGTATCTGGGGATGTGCTCCCTACCAACCTGAGTTAACTGCTGGGTGAGGCCTTGCCATGGCACAGGAGGCAGACTTTGGACTCAGGCAGGCCCGGTTCTATGAAGCATGTCACCTACTGAGCCTCAGTTCCTCTTCCATAAATCAGGCAGGAAAATACTTTGCAGCCTCTTTCAGGGTGTGACTTTGACAAATTCTGGACCCACGATGGTCCGCCCTCTGTACGCAGTTACATTCACAGGCAGAGTCCAAACAGAATTAGCCACTGGCAACAAAAAGGGAACCCGGGTACATAACTCATCTCTTTGGAAAAAGAGGACGAAATGCACAACCTCCAGCAGTACAAATAGTATCTCTACTTTCTTCCCCCTATTTGTTCCCAAACTCCACGATTTTCTGGTCTCTTACTTGCTCATCAGGCCCCATCACCACCACCATCACCCACAAAGCGAACTCACACCAAAGTCTGTTTCCCTCGTCAGCCCGGATCTTTCTTAAGCAAATCAGTATGGCTGGTCCCCGTACCCCGTCTTCCACCTGCCTGCCCTTTACTCTCCCTCCTGGTCTGGCTGTGGTCTGGCAGTCACCACGCCTCATCAAGAACCAGAGAGCGATGATGCCTCTCTGAGGGGCGGCAGACAGAGGAACCACCTGAAACACGGACTTGTCAATCACTGCAGATGCTCTAAGGGCTGGAAGACGCCGCGGCGAGCTGTCAGGGGCGGACGTTCAGTGAACACAGGCGGCCGGTGGGGGTGACGGTGACAGTGAGGACTTAGTGAATCCCAGGACTTTAATGACGAGACACAGCCGGTTCCCAGAGGCCTCCCTGGGCCGGTAACCAGCCTCAGGCCTAGTTACCGTCAGCTAGGCACCACCTCCGCACCGCCTGGTCTGTGCAGAGCCAAAGTTCCCCAAGTCTAAAGCCGTGGAGACGCTTCCCAAGGCAAGAACCCGATCCGCCCCTGAAGACGAAGGCCCCTCCGAGTCCTGGACGCTGTGGGTTTGCTCCATACCCAGAGAATTGCTTGCTTTTTAAGCGACCGTGAAATGGTCACGGAAACTCGCCGTGTATTAAGCCCCAAAGAAAACCACACGATGCACACCCATGTGTTCCCACAGCAGATCCTAGATGTGACTACGGTCTGAGCTGTAAGGGCCCTATCTTCGGATCAGCTGCAAGCTATTTACCTTTGAAAGAATAATGACTTCATTCTTTTCGTGAAAACGATGCCTGCTCGTTGTAAGCAATTTAAACCATGCTGAAACGCACAAAGAAGGGGATAAGTGAAAAGAGGCCTCCAAAATCCCATCAACCTAGAAATAGCTATCATTAATCTTTGGTGAGCATTGTTCCACCCCACCCGCTGGAACTTTGCCAGATAGAGCCAGTGTGTGGGGGTAGGTGGCCGTGAGGACCGCCCGCGGCTCTCCACACTCAGACATCACTGAGACCCCGAGGTAGCAAGGTCCGGGCCCACGGGGTAGCACCAGCCCGGGGCCCGCCGACACACCCCCTCCATAGCGGGGAAGGGGGACACTCTCTTTTGAGTCCCCAGGCACCGGAGCCCTTGTTCAGTGGGTGTCCCCAGCACCTGTGGTCACAGAGGCTGAAGCTGCATTCAAAACCAGAGGGTCCCAGGGCTCGAGACAAGGGCCAAAGTGTAATGAGCTCACGCTATCCACCAGGCACTAGGCATTCCTGGGCATCAATCAGCTCTCTCCATCCTCACTGTGACCCGGGGACCTGCCACAGGCTAAGCAGCCCCCAGAGCAGACCCTAAGACAAGAACCCGAATGCAGATGGCTTCTTGACTTGAGAGGTGGTGCGGGGCACATCAGTGCAGGGTGTGGAGGAAGAAGCAGTCACTAACGGGGCACCACCAAGCATTACAACTGGGCCGCTGTGGGACCCTCTGTGAATCGCGTGGGAGCTTGAGGAGACAGTGCTCCCCGCTCCCCTCCCCCAGGGAGCGAGGACGCTGCATTTGCCCGCCCACTCTCTGGACACCTCTTGTCCAGGGCCCCGCACCGTGGACAAACTGCTCTCGCAGCCAGAGAGGAACGTGCCCCCAGGCAGAGCCACGTGCGGTCCCGGTGAGCAGCCTTCAGAGTGCGGTGGCTCAGAGGGGCACCCGCCACCTTGTGCTGTAGCCTCCAGTGTCCTGCTCACACGTACAACTCTCACGGCCAGAGAGGTGTGAGTTCAGGACCCAAGGTCACACTGCTAGAAAGGGTCGGTTCAGGAGTCAAAATCTACTCTGGTTAATTCCAGAGGTCTCTCTCTATCATGTCCCTCAGGGCCAGTGCAGACAGTGGAGAGGAGAGAGAGATTCACCGAGAGACACGATGAGTGGAGGGGCTTCAAGAATGCTTGGTGGCATTCAGTGACAAGAGGCTTGGAGAACCCGAGGACAGGCGGCCAGGGCGGTGGTGGAGGAGCTGCGGGAAGGCGGTGGGTGGGGGCAGCAGGTGGACAGTGGGGCTGTGAGATCACGGTCATGGGGGTTAGACAGGCCGCTGGCTCTGGGACAGGGCAGCTCCAGGGCAGAGAGAAGCCTACCCAGGACCCACAGGGACCCATTCATTCTGCTGTGGTGATAAATTAGCAGGTTTCATCCCCCAAAACTCCAATGAGCTCATCTGGTCATGAATCACAGTGTGGTTGGGACAGGGACACCTCTGGAGCCCTGACTCCCAGGCTCCCAGGGGCCTGGCCCTTGGCTTTGCGGTATGATCCTCCCACTGAGCCCCTTCACTAGGACCGGTGGGTGACATCTTGCCATGTCCAGCGTGGCCACTGGATTCTTTGGTCATGGGCCCCAGAGCTCTCTGGGAGGAGCTTAAAGCAGGGGTTAGCAAAGTGCAGCGGGGGGCCCAAACCGAGCCCCCTGCTTCTTTCTGTGCAAGGAAGCCAAGAATGGTCTTAAGGGTTGCGAAAGAAAAAAAACCCAAAGAACATGGGACAGAAATCCAACGTGCCCTGCAAAGCCCCAAATATTTGCAATCTGGCCCTTTAGAGAAAAAGCTTGCCAACCCCTGGCTGAAAAGGTCAAGTGCAGTCTAGAAGTAAGTGTGCAGAAAACGGCTCAGCGTCGTGAGCCACCGGGGAGACACAGGTCCGAACGGCAAAGAGACGTCACTTCACTCCCGCCAGGCTAGCTGTAACCAGAAGGACGACACCCGGTGCTGGTGAGGATGTGGAGGAACTGGGACCCATGTACACTGCCGATGGCACTGCACACGAGGACAGCACCACTGGAAAGCAGTCTGAGTTACTTAAAGCATCAAGCATACATTTGTCCTATGACCCAGCAATTCTATTGCTGGAAATCTACCCAAGAGAAATAAAAACAGACTCGACGGAAAGACACGTACACGCGTGTCCCTGGCGTTATTCATAATCACCTCAGACTGGAAACGACCCGAATGCCCATCGACTGATGAACAGATAAGCAAAAAGGTGGTCTATCCAGACAATGGAGCAGTGTTTGCAATAAGAGAAGGATGGATCAGGGCGCCTGGGTGGCTCTTTCGGCTCAGGTCATGATCTCACGGTTCGTGAATGCGAGCCCCGCGTCGGGCTCTGTGCTGAGAGCTCGGAGCCTGGAGCCTGCTTCGGATTCTGTGACTCCCTCTCTCTCTGCCCCTCCCCCGCTCGCACTCTGTCTCCGTCTCTCTCAAAAGTAAATAAAACGTTAAAAAAAAAAAAAAAAAGAAGAAGGATGGATCTACTCAGATGTGCTACGATACGGGCAAACCTTACAAACATGATGCTAAGTCAAAGAAGCCAGGAGCAAAACACATTCTGTGTGATTCCTTTTATATGAAATGTCTAGAAAAGGCAAATTCATAGAGACAGAAAGTGGAAGAGTCACTGCGTGGGGCAACAGGGAATCTTTTGGGATGACACGAATATTCTGAAACTGGACTGTGGTGATGGTCGCGCTACTCTATAAATTAACTAAAATCACTGAATCATGCACTTCTGATTGGTGAATCTTA